ACTGGTTTAAGCCTCCACCCCAGGGATATGATAGGGATCCCACTGCCTGTGGTATTTACACTGACTATTCTTCCTTCTACGGGTACGACCAGGACATTCCTTTCGGGGGACCGGCGAGGGGGGGGGGGGGGAGTTTTCATGCTAATTATTTTGGTGCTAGCTCTTCTGGTGCAGGTGGTACAGGTGGCAATGGAGGTGCGGGCTTCGGCTCGATGGATGAGGATGACCAGGACTAGCTATGCTGGGCTAGTTCCCGAGCCAATGAGGACATTGTCTGATTCTGGCTTGGGGGAGATTTTGGTTTGGTATCTTTCTTTTTCCTCTTTTATTTTATTTTTGGTGTGTTTTCTTAGGTTAGATTTCTTGCTTTCTAGGTTAGTTTTTATTGCTTTCTTATATAAAAAAAATTAAAAAAAAAATTAAAAATAAAAAAAAAATCCAAATATATGTTCCAATGAATTGTAAATTATGCTTCCCTGTGCCCCTTACTTGAGAAATTTTTTTTAATTCTTGGTATTTGATGATAAGAATTGTGGATTAGTTGATCATGATTTGATGTTTGATTGCCTTGAAACCTTAACATGCGTCAATTTTGTCCAACTACTTGTGAATATAGTGCTTGAATAATTGATTTGGTAAGGAATGTGTAATAGTTCCATAGTTCCTGGTATGTCAATGAATTGGAGTATTGGTTTTCAATTATAAGTAATATTTATATAATTCATTATTATGCACATTGTAGAGGACGAAGGCATATGTTCTTTTAGGTAGCCTCCAGAGATTGTAGATACATTTGTTCCCTTCTTGCTACCCATGTTGTTGCCTTGACTTTTTATTTTATTAGCCATATTACAAGCTTATTTTGCCCCATTGGTTACTAGTCCCAAGCTTGGCTTGGGGGAGCTATTAGTGAGTGAGGTGAGGGAGTTTGTAGTGTGCTTATTATTTGCACAATTTGAGTGGGTTTTGAGAAGTTGTTTTGTTGTTGATCATGTTTATTTTTGATGAGTTTGAGAGTTGTATTTTCTTGAAAAAATAAAGCATGATGTTATGAAAAAAAAAGAGAAGTTCTAGAAAAAAATATGTTGAAAAAAATTAGTGAACTTCAAAAGAAAAGAAAAAAAATGTTCAAATGTTCTAGTTGGAGGTTGATCAAAAGAAAAAAAATAGAGCTTCAATAAGAAATTCAAGTTTGGAAATAAAGTTTGTTTATTCACTCCACTTCTTCATTATTATATTTTTATGAGTGAAATTGTAAGAGCTGGGATTGTTTATTGTGATTGGAGTATATTTGGTTGATGTTAGAGTTGGTTATGTAGGAGATGTTGATCATTATTTATTTTGATCATGGGTTTCGATAGGATTTGGCTCCCTTAATGCATAGTTTTTCTCTCACATACTCCCAAATTTATCCTACCCTTTACCCTAGCCTTACATTACAAGGTTTAAAGACCTTCCGACCTTTGTGCATAGAATTATATGAATGTGAAAGTGTTGTTTATCAATGCAAGTTATGATTTGACATATTTCGAGTCGACTAGTAGGATTGAGCGTTCATTGTTTTATACACACGAGAGTGTGAGTTGGGAGGGCATTGTTCACATAAAGGGGTTGGTTGGAGAGCGATCGAGTACATCTTTTACTCACCACAAAAATGAGATTTGAGTGCGTGAGCACTAGTCTTGAATTCTATATGCTCTTGTGGTTTGCTCTGTTTGACAATTGTTAGGGAAGATTGGTAATTAGATGGATTTGATTGGTTGATTTTGAAGCATGTTTATTTGATTTACCCTGGATCGTTTGTGCTTGATTTTTACTTTTCGGGTGAAGTATATTTATTGATTCATTGATGAGATCTTTGCTTAGGGACAAGCAAAGGTTTGGCTTGGGGGAATTTGATGTGTCTATTTTATATAGTATTTTACCCCCGTCCCTTGGTCATAATTGGTAGTGTTTTTGGCTCTTTAGAGCCACTTTTATTACTAATTGGTGTTTTCTAGTGTTTTCGTAGATTTGGTTGACTTTTGCAGGGATTTATGCTTTTAGAGTATTTTCCCGAGATATTTTGGAGCAATCACGAACATTGGAGAAGCACGACCAGATTTTATAGCCTAGGGCTGGTTAGAGCCATCGAACCGGTGATTAAGGGCTCGGTATAGGTGATACCGGGGCATTTGGACCGAGTATTCAAGACCGTAAGAGGAAACCCAGATTGACCCGAAGAATTGGAGCCCAATCGTAGTCCAAATAGTGGCCCAAGTGAGTCGCCCAGCCAAAGAGGCTGGCGCTGGAGGCACGCCCGGCCGGGCGGGAGAAGCTAAGGTTGGCGCCCGGTGACGCGCCCGGCCGAGCGCGAGATTAGTATTAGGGATAAAAAGGCGCGCGTGTATTTATTAGGAGACGATTAGCGTCGTTTTAATTTGTTTTAGTTTAGGATTTGTACGAAGTATAAATACTTCTCCGTAATACGTTTTTAACTCTCTCTCTCTCTCTTTTTTTACTCTTTCTTTACTCTCTTAATAGTTCTCTTATATTTTCTTTCTCTTAAACCTTTGTTCTTAATCTACTCTTAATTCCAGATTTATTTTGGTAACTATTTCTCTTCTCTTAATCTTAGTTGTTTATTTCATTCCTTTAATTATGTCTTATTTTATTGCTTTGATTAGTTTAGTTTTTACCATGTGTGAGTAGTTTTATTTCTAGGGTTTATGGGGATCCATAAATAATATGAAGGGGTAATTTATTATTGTTAATTATCAATGTTAGATTAATTTCCTGTTGATTGATTTAATGCTCTGTGACTAGATTAGGCCTGATCTTTTATGCATGAGTTTGACAATATTGATTCGAGATTCGAGAGATGAGAATTGATGTTTAGGTCTAGTTTCAATAGGCAGGTTAATTTATAAATGGTTAAGTCGAGATTCGAGAGATGAGATTTAATACCGGTAGATTAATTATGTGATTGTAATACGTAGCGAAAGCCCTTTACAATCTGGTTAATTGATGCATTGATGATTGACTATTATTAGTTTTTGATATTGCATGATAATTTTTTATTGAATTGTTTTAACGCTTTACAATTATGGCTTGTAAAAGTATAGCAATATTGAATTGATGAATCGAGCAGATGTTAATTTGATATTAAAGGCTATTTTCAATAAGAACTTAGATCTAGTAAATTGCGAGAGCCTGTTAGATCTATGTTGATTAGTAAATTGCGAGAGCCTGTTAATCATGTTATTTATGCAATGTCAATGATTGATTATTATGTTTTACCCTGTAATATTATTTATTGGTGAACCTATGCCCTAAATCCTTTTATATATTGTTTTCTCCCTATTCTCAATCTTAATAGTTTAGTTTCTTATTCAAATATAAATATTGGTTACTTCATAATCTAGATTTTTTTAGTTAATTAGGAATAGAAAGACTTGTTTCCCTGTGGAGATCGACCCTACTTCCCTTTTTGCTTTAGTTAGAGGACTTAGGAATTATTTTTGATTAGGGGATACGACTTTACCCTGTCAACCCACCTTATACCCGCACCATATTCTTTTAGAAGAGTTGAGAATTTATGAAACTTGATACCTTCTAAGACCCAATAAGCTTGAATAGTGAAAGCCCCAATTTTCTTAATCTAATTTGATATAATTGTCATTAATTTGATACAATAGAGCATCACAGAAAAGGGTTTGGGACGATTTTGGGGCGGGTATGAGGTGGGTATGAATATCCAAGTGGGTGATGGGGCGGGGATGGATCCTATCTTGTACTTGGTGGGGCGGGTATGAATATGGATATTGTACCCGCCACGGGTGATGGGGCGGGGATGGGTATAAGAGTTTTAGACGGGTATGGGTATGGAGGTACCATCACTCGCATCCGACCCACCCCATTGTCATCCCTAATTGAAACTAATACCAAAAATTATATGGACAAAAAAAAAAGGGTGAAGATAACAATGCAAGGCTTGATATTTAAATGTCTATTAGGATGTTTTCGATCATAACCATAGTCCATCATGTGATGCTTTTCTTGCACTCAAATTCAGTACATTGTTTACGTCCGTTTACCATGCTACGTACATTTTATTTGTTAATAATACGCGTACCTGCCTGTAAATTTTCATAAAGAAGGAAACGTAAATTTTGAGCAACAAGTTTAACTTCAATCAAGGATAAACGAGTATTTTTTTATAAGCCAATAATCAATCATTGATCGGTCTTATGAAGGTAGCTAATCAAACTTTGAAGTGGGTTTGATTTGATCTAATCAAAGAAATTATTTACTCATTTCATTAAGAATCGTGTTTGATTGATCCAACAATAATATGTGCTATGTGTGTATGTATCATCATCCAATGCATGGTGTTGATTAAATGCTAAAAATTCAATGGTCTTAATCAAAGCATAGCATGATAGCAACTTGGTTACAAAATTATTAAATTTCTTATAAAACTATCTTACATACTTCATTCGTATGTTCTTTATAGTTTGAAATTTTTATTAAGACAAGTTTGTCAATGCATAAGTTCAGCTATTAATATATTGGGTAATGTTACATGTAGCCCTAAGGGCTAAATATAAGCATTACACTCTTGAAAATTATATAAAATTAGGAATTCATGACAAAAACACGCGTAAATAAGTGTAATTAGTGTTTATATTTTGATGTTTTTTTTTACCTTTTTACGATTTTCAAGTGTAAATTTAATTTAATGCTTATAGGTAGCCCTAAGGGCTATGTCATGTATAGCATTTTCCTAATATATTTAATTATCATTAAGTAAAATTAATTTCAGCTGAATTTTAGAATTATACGCTAAGATGAATATGACAAAATCTCACATAAGTATGTTTTATCATAATTTAAAATTACAAACACTAGTTAATAAAGTAAAGCTGGTAAATAGTACAGTATTAAAAGTCAAAACACGTCAATTATAATAAAAAATGATGAAAGATGTGTATATTTAGTGATAATTTATGGTCATCAAAATATGTAATGTTTGGCCTTAAAAGTAAAGATGGAACAATTATCAAAAACCATAGCGAGTAAAAAGACATAGCAAACAATATCTATAAACTATGAATTCCTAAATTAAAGAAGTTTATTAGACTATTGTAGAATGAAGCAAATGAATAAATACAGACTGATTGCATTAAAGTCTATAAACCCTTGCCCTTTGTTTCAAGGTTACAATCTATAAAAACCCTTAACAAAACTTATGTTGTTGATGTTGAAGAGCACTAGTTGAGCTCATTCCTAGGATATCATGGTTTGCTATGGCGCCGGCTACAATCTTGTTATGTGATGGATCTTGTTGTTGCTGTTGTTGTTGTTGATGCTGGTCCAAGCTCTGGTAATTGGCAAGAAGCTTATCCAAGAACCCCCACTCGCCGCCATTAGCTAACAATTGTTGTGTGTTTATTAGCCCTCCGGCGGAGGTGCTTAGTCTCAGTATATTATCCATGGTAGTAAAGAGAGTGCTACCACCGGCGGCTGATAAGGTGTCGGAGCTAGCCAATTGTGGGAGGTGCATAGCGCCATCGAAAGTGTAATCAGGGTTATAGTAGTTATTAGGAAACATTAAGGGTTGGACGTTGTAACCATGTTGCCTTGGTGGGAATAGGATTGTAGAAGTAGTAGGGTTGGTGCTTGGCTTTATCATGTGGCTTGAGGTGGGGTGATTATTTGTAGGGTTAGGATTATCGTAATCGTCTTCATGTTGTAGTTCAGAGTGTAAACCTCTTCCATGGTTCTTCTTCTTGAAGACTCGGCACACCACCCATCCATCTTCTTGCTAAAACAATGAAAGAAAAACCACACCAAATTAGTTGCAAGCATAGATTATCTACTTGTATATCTATAAAGGTTAAACGAACTATAGAGAAACACTTATTAATATATCTTTTTTTTCATTGACTTTCAACGAGACGTATCAACTACCTCTTTTTCTTATATAAACTATTATAAAAATGACACTTATAAATAACTTAAATTTAATTCTTGGATCTGCCACTCTAAGGGGGACATATACATCTTAGAATGTCGCCTTTGGTGTACCTGGTTACATATATGTGCATAATAACAACCCCTAAATCATGGATCTATATCTAGTTGAAAACAATTTCATTTTTGGTGTATGGACACAACGAAATACGAGTACAAATAAATTTAATTTAAGCTTAATTAAGTGAACACATAGATAAGAAATCTATGAAGATTACATTAAGAAAATTTTCTAGGTTAATGGAACAAGGAAGGTCTCTTTGATTTGTTTTATGACTTTACATAAACGTCAAAAATTATTCATCTATGCTAGTACAAACAAGTTCTAACGTACAATAATATGATTAATCCTTACTCCAAGCCTTAAAAAGTTAAAAGAAAACCTCAATTATTGATAAGCTCAAAAAGGCTAGCTGTAATCTTGCTTTAAACTATACCAATTTTTATGGATAAAAGCTTTTAATTAATAAATTTAAACCTACCTGAAGTTGAGGATCTTCATCGTTGAGTCGGTATTCATGCATGATCCAATCCGTCTTGTGACCATGAGGAGCACGTCCGGTGTAGAAGACTAAGGTTTTCCTCATGCCGATTCGCTTTGCATTGTTGCCAAGGTAGATTGCCTTGTCTCTCCCGGTGGCTTTCCAAAATCCGGCTGCCGTGGCACGGTTTGTTCGTGTACCGGTTGGATACTTCTTGTCCTTGTGGCTAAAGAAGTACCATTCATTTTGAGGTCCTGAACCTATCCTGCATCTATCTGTATAACAACATTGCATGCATGGTATTAGCATCACTTTGTAGATGTTGCCAAAAATATAAAGATTTCTAACATTCTAGAAAAACTTATCTAGAAAATAATCACATAACATATTGCTTGCTATCCAAAAAGTGAATAACTTGCATGAAATTCATTCAGCCTAAATCAGTATGAAATTAAATTTTTCCTCAAAAAAAATATGAAATTATAATATTTGTCGTTTTTTTATAATAAATTTGTCCAGTAGTAATTTGTTAATATTGAATGGTCCACATATGATTTAATGGAAACAACTTATTTGTCATTTCTATACCTTTTTAACATAAAAACTCATTGTATAACAAAAATTCAATTCAAACCATGTAGCACTACAAATCTATATTATTTAGATGAAGAAAACAAGAGCATAAGAACTTAAGAAACACTTTTTTTTAATGAAATTTAAAATCACTTTCTAAGTACGACTTTTACAAAAATACTACTATATGATTAAGAAGCCCTCGAGATGCCCATGCAAAGTTAAACATGATTAAAAAATATTGTATTAGCGGATGTCAATGAGTGCATCTAAAAGTCTTATTTAGCGGGTTGATGAAACCTATGGTTTGGGATCATCACCTCCAAAATATTATTGAGTTTCATTTTTTCTTTATATGAACTAGCTAACTCCGTATGAACTTGTGCAAAGAATTAAAAATAAATTAATAAAGGTTGGTAGTATCGGATCCAAAGTATCTAGGAGTTAGGACCCTAGTTCGTCCTTTATCATGTTGCTATTATCATATTATGTGATGTAGATGAATAAATAAAAAGGGAAAACATAAAATTATGTATAAGATTAGAGTATATACCATGCAAATACTAACAAAGATGATGAGTTATTTCATGCTCAAATCTTAATCAACTCTTATTATTATTAGATCAATTATAAGTTTATAAGCCCTAAAAAAAAAATTCAATAGCTTAAAAATTTTAAGTCTTTTTTCATTTTAATTTTTGGAATTTGATAAGCACTCTACTATATCATGCAACAACAAAAATGATGATGAGCTTCAAGCTCAAATCTTAAGTCTTACTATTCGATCTATTGTAAGATTATTAACCCTATAATATATATCTCTACATAAGTTTATACTTCGTATTATCCAAGATATATATCCTAAAGGAAAGACCTAAGACCACACTATAAGTAAAGATTTTTGTACTTATAAGCAAATAAAAATGAAAAAGAAGATATATATGTGATATGTATGTTAAGCATTATAACAAACCTTTCAGATCCCATGGTTCAAGCTTGTTAAGGTCAACTTCTCTAATAACATCAAGATCAATAGCTTCATAAGAAACCTTTTTCTTCAAATAATAGTATAGTAGTTCTTCATCAGTTGGATGAAAGCGAAACCCTGGAGGAACGGAGATTTGGCCATTACCACCATTTCCAGGCATCATTGTAATAACTTTGTTCGTCTAGTAGTTCAATATACTCAACTAACCTAAAAAGAAAATCACTGAAAAGTAGGAACAAGAAACGGGTCATAACATGCACGACATAACAACACGTTACGTTACTTGAAAATCAATCAAAAACACCAAAGAAATAAATCATAGAAGAAGATAAACTAATAATAGGTGGAGGAAAAATATAAACACCTTACCCTTTGGTTAGAGAGAAGCTAATGTGATAATGATAAGAATGAGATGAAGTAAAAGATAGGGAATTGAATAGAATAGAAAGAAAGATTAATTAGATTGTAATTAAGAAGAAATATGGGAACTAAAACCAAGGAAAAGGGAACAGAAATAAAGGAAAGCTGGGGGATATAATAGTCAAAGGAATAGAAGAAATATAATGATAAAAAAAGGAATAGAAGAAAACAAATAATAAAGAAAGGGAATAGAAGAAAACAAACAATAAAAAAAGAAAGGAAAGGGAATCTGATTCTCATGTGGAGGTATATGAAAGCGTACGTATAACGGTGCACGGGGGAGCGGTAATCTGACTAGGGATTCTGTCCGTTGAATAGCAGACCTTAGGCCTGAATTTCGCCTCATTAATGTCATTGAATTAAGGATTAGAAATTAGGAAGATTACCAGCTTGAGAAATTAAGGCCTTAATCGGATATGATTTAATTAATCTGTCACTAATTAGAGACGACCAAGCTAGACACCATACTAAGCTTGATGGTTTAGTGGGAATGATTGCACCTTCTAACCTTAAAGTTGAGGATTTGATCCCCACCAGTGAGGGTATCTCTTACCTTTATCCCTTACTTTTAAAGTTTATGGTCCTCAAATACTGGATTATTATAAGAAAATGTGAGAGTTGAGGTTTAGTCAAGATCCTTCCCTTTACCTTAACAATTAAATAAAAATAGAGGTGACTAGGCGGGGTTGACGTGCAATATATGTGGATAATAAATGTATACAGGTACAGCTAGAGTGAATTGGCATTTGGGTGTTACTGTAATATTTATACTATAGTATACTTGTTGGTTTCTGTTTTCCAAGGAATTGTACATGCTGTTTCTCTTGGTATTTTTACTTGTTACTCCATATATATGAATATATGATCTTCCTCTTCAAGTTTGAAAAAATAAATAAATTAATGGTTAGGTTTGGTCATTATGCGGGTCGGCAGTGAAGATTTATAGCTAGTGGTTTGATCAAATTGTCTAGTAAGATCGGATTAAGTTATATGGGTTGATGGGTTGAGTATACATTAAGGACATGATTAATGGTTAGGTTTGGTTAGGTTATTATGCTGGTCGAAGGTGAAGATTCATAGCTAGTGGTTTGATCAAATTGTCTAGTATAAGGTCGGATTAAATTGTCTAGTGGTTTGATTCATAGCTAGTAGTTTGATCAAATTGTCTAGTATATTGGTTGATGGGTTGAGTATACATTGAGGATATAATAGGTTTACCAAAACGGATACAAAAATATGCGTAGTGTTAACACTTAATGAACAACTAACAAGTGAGTGGTAGAAGAACCATCTATACTAATTTAATCTATTAAAAGGCGTTCCTAAAAACGTCTCTACGTCATGTGGACCCCCTCACTACGCCACGTCACTCACTCAACTCCTTATTATGCCATGTCATCCACAACAATACTTCACATTGCCTCAACTATATTGGAAAATATATATATATATATATATATATATATATATATATATGACAAGGTTTGAACTCTTAGACTTCTTTGAAGAAAGGTTATTGTTTAGCCATTTAGGCTAATAATCATTTATGCTTTAATGTTGCACGCTAAATAATATTATTCTTTACAAATATTGAAAATACATAATTCATACACACTATTAAATGCTCTTAAAAATTAGCAAGTGTACAACTATAGAAGTAGTATCCTAGGGCAACGACAATAAGAAGTCATGTCATCTTTGCTATCTAATACTTTTGTTTATTTATTTTTTCTTTACGGTGTGTTTGGATTGAAGGAAATGGAGGGAAAGGAAGGGAAGAGAAATGGAGAGATGGGGTATCTTTCATTTGGATAGCAAATGAGGAAGGGAGGGAATTAAAGGGGAGAGAAATGGAAGGATTAAATTGTAGAAAATTAATAGCTCCAACAATGGAGAGATTTGGAAGGAAAACTCACCATTCTTCCCTCCCCTTCTTTTCCTTCCCCTTTCTTTATCCAAATAAAATGTAAATGTAGTTAATGTACTACATGAGTTTTTTTTTACAAATTATTTTCTTCAACTAAATCAATAATAAAAGTACGTATTTAAGATTATTATAATACAAATAAACTATTATTCGAAGTATATAATATTTAACGTATAGATTTGGGGCATCGCCCGGAATAAACACTAATTTTAAATTATTAAAAATGAAAAGAAAAAACAATTATAAGCTTGAATAAAAATTCATCCTATCAATTTTAGAACGAAATTGAACATCAATTAAAGTGTAAACAATCTTTCTTTATATTTTATGGATGCAATCTTGGCTCATAATATAACAATTGATGTTCAAAGGGCTACTCCTCTTTTTGATATATGATTTTGGGATGAAGCTTCCTTGGACTTGTGAAGTGGGCTCTCTCTCTCTCTTTCTCTTGGTGACGGGTGCAGCCCAAACCCATATTTTACAATTTCCCTTCTTCCTTTTTTAGAATTGTGAAAACACCCCCCACCCACCCCCCCCCCAAAAAAAATCACTTTTTGCTTCTTTAATTTAATTTTGAAACGTACTGTGAAATTATGAAAGTATTGTTTGTTGAAGCTTAAAAGGCTTTGATAATGATGAACTTAAACTCAAGCAAACTTTGACTAACAATGGTTTTTCTAAGTGTGTGACTAGAACAGGTAAAGTAGACTTTAGAAGTGGAAGAGTAGCCTAATCTAAAAAGACATGAAGAGATTCCAAAAAAAGGTTAAACAAGATAAAAGAAGAGTTCCCTAACAGGAACTTAGTTCTTTAAAGAATTATCTTTGAAGACATCAAGATAAGGTGTTGACTGTAGGGAATTATAGGTACTACGTAGCGGAAAAACATGAATCATATTCATACAGTACCTAATCCCAAGATCTAATGCATAACACATAAAGAACATATAATCGTACCTTTGAAGCGTGATTCCACATGCGATCGAGCAAGAACAATGGGAGATAAAGAACCCCACGCGTGATTCCTCTACTTAGTCCACGAGCACGGATTAAACCTCCACTAATGCTAGTTAGTTGTGACTGAACACTTTAATCAACCTTCAACGTAGATTTGAGCCACGAACACACCACAACACCACCCACGCGCCACCACACGCACCACCCAAGGAGGAGGGCCGTATGGACAGGAAGGAGAAAGAGAGGGCCGAGTAGAGAGAGAGTTAGGGTTTTTTTGGGAAACTTAGTTGCTTGTGTTTATACTTATTGATCATATCTAGAAATAAAACCATGTCAAGTCCAAAAACCATTAAACTCTTCTAACTATCCAAGCCCAATTATCAACATGGTGTGTCATGAATTCATGAGGCCTAATAATGGGCCTCTAACTTGTTTAACCCAATAATCTTATGTGTGACCTTGTAGGATCCACTCTATAAGGCTTTGGGCCATATAGCTAGCCCAAAGATCAATTGTCGTATCTAGCACCAAACATTGACGACCCTATAGAATGAACTAATTATCTCCATAATCGTGATCCTCGATATATCTAGTAATTGCAGTTATCGAAGACATAACTCCTTCAATCTCCCACTTGTCTGAGACAAGTGTGCAATATTCAAATTCCTTAAGTCAATGTGTGTCGATTTGATAATATGATTGCATCTCATGTCGTGATCATATTAGTCTACAAATCTTTTCTTGAAATACTGAGTTAGATTCACAGAACAAATGATTACTATGTAATGCATTTGAGCACGGCCATGCATTTTCTGAATTCTCCCTCTTCAAGGGGCCAAGACACATTCCTATTTAATAGGTAGACTCAATCCAATCTTGTGGCAACCAAAGCTCCCACTAAACTCATGAAGCAACCGGGAAATACCCTTTATAATCCCCAGTTACGGCTGGACGTTTGAGTGTACCACAGCTAAATCAATCATTGAATGGAATCAGTGTTCCACTCATGTCAAAGGAATCCACTAATATATCCGAAAGTTCTATACTTGAACTTCAAAGTAGGTCTATAGTTCAATCATGCATCATTCATGCATATCTATGTGATTGACCGAGCATCATCATTATGCTCCTATAGCCCATGAAACTGCACTATCCAATCAATCTTACATGCTAGTCCAATTTATGAAATCATTTATGTCCACTTTAATGATTCCGAACTAGGAACTTAAATAATGTATGAATTTAGTTCACCTGTAGGGTTTCATTCAACAGGTCATCAACCTGATAAGCCCATCAATTCATAATTATTTTGGACATTTTATTTAATCTTGAAACCACGATTGAATAAGATTGAAACTTTGTATCAATTGTTAAACATAATTCTGCAAATGAATGTATTACACATGTAACTTGTTTTTCTCCAAAAACAAATACAACTTCTAATTACATCATTTGACTCAATCCAGTTTCATAAGCATGTTTCTTATGCTTTGGAAATGGAAGGGGTTTACTAAGTAGAGTTCATGAGACATTCTCATAAACATGAATTTTGCAATTTCTAAATCTTATAATCATTTTCATCTCTATACACTAAGAATTTTCCTTCGCCCTTTCACAAGGAACTCTGGAATTTCTAATTTGTATTCCAACGTTATATTGGATTTTAATTGAAATCTATCATCGCTTGTTCTAAAAACACGTGAATCAAATAGACGAGTATAGTCCATGGCATGCATGATGCATCCTTTGCGAATTGCATAAGGATCATCACTCAAAACCTTAATTTCATCAACCTTTCTCAAAGCATTGAATCATTAAGCAATGTGTCATGTTACATGGGATTGAAACTCCTTTCAATATAATGTTAAACCTTAGAAGAATCTTATCAATATAAGCTTCTTAACCAAACTCAAACATCCTTCAAAAACTATCTCTATAGATCTTGAATCCCAAATGTACTCATCTTTTTCTTCAAGGTTTTCATACAAAATGCATTACCCACCACTTGACTATTCAAGCAATGAATAATTGCTCTTTATACTAGACTAAGAAGACTTTATATCTCCCACTAAACATCTTGTATACACAAGACCTTTTCTTCATTTTATGAGAACATCAAACGATTTGATTAACTCACAAAATTAAGAGCAACAACTCCATGATGCTTACTTCCATCCATTAATGAATCTTTTATGCATCCTTAGGATTATTGGATTCTCTGATTGTATCACATACAAATCTTCTTTCATGAACAATTTCAAGAAAGTGTTTTGAAATCCATCTACCAAATCTCATAAGGTAGTAATCACTAAAATGTCTTTAATATATCTTTGCAACATGACTAATGTAAAGTTTTTGTCGTAGTCATAGTCATACTATGAATTAGTTGAATCCTTTAGCAAGTCTTTGCTTTAGTTAGTGTAGACACCCATTTGTGTCTCCCCAATACCAAACCCAATGATGAGTACCTTTCACGTTGAATCATAATCGAATGAAGTGAAAATGTGGAAAGTTTA